GAGGAGGAGGAGGAGGAGGAGGAGCAATGCTTTATTCACAACGGTCACCCATTGAAGCGTGGGTTGGAACAGCATCTTGCAGAATGTGTGTCGCAGCTCGCAGCTCGCAGGTAGTCTGTGGGCCTCAGAGGCATGAAGACTCGACTCAGGATGAAAGTTGGCCTCGGGGAGGGTGTCGAGTGGTCCTGGGAGCCGGCGACTCGCCACAGATCGAGTCGCCAGATGTTTGGGTCCACCTTTTTCTCGTGAGCGTCGGCACCGCAGCCACAGCGCACGAGCGTTCCTCTCCCTGCCGCCTCTTGTTCGGTGTTTCCCAGGACATGTATTATCTGACTGTGTTCTTACCCCTTTCTGTCCTCATCACATCGGCTGCGCCGTCTTGAAGGGCAGAGGTGCGTAAGCATACGTTGGCGCTGACATACGTTCTGAAGATCATCGATCTGCCTGCGCGTCTGCGTCAGGCACGTGAGAATATTCTCGGGGCTGTACGGGTTGCTGCGACCGTTCGACCAGATCCAGGCGCTGAGGCGTGCGCGCGGGGATGCCGGCGAGGGTGCGTAGGCAGCCTCTGGAGTTGGCCCGCGGGTCGTGGTTGCAACAGTTGCGTCCCCGAACCCTCCATTTCGACTCTGTCGATTCGAATCGATTCGATCTCGACTCGAATCGACAGAGTCGAAATTGGTTCGATCTCGGTTCGAATGACTCGAGATCGATTCGAATCGAGATCGGTTCGACCTCGGTTCGAGATCGATCTCGAGGATTCCGGTCTCGATTCGACTCGGCTCCGGCTTCCGTCCGCGGTGTCCGGGCCTCCCCGGGCAGGCTGCCCCGGCTCGGGCCGCCGGGCGCGGGTCTCTCCAGGCCCCCGCCGCTGTCGCGGCGGCTGCGGCGTGTGTCGATGGCCGATCCGCTGGTTTTCGATTCGAGCTCGAGTCGAAGAACATCGGATTGAAAAAACAGGGGGTCATCGAATCGAAAAGCATCCAATGTATTTTGATCTCTTTTGATCTGATGGCCCCCTGGTCTCCAAATGGGCTTGCCCTACAGGAGTCCCAGCTCATCCTAAGCAACTGGTCTTTAGGACTCCCCCCTCTCCTTTTTCCAATGGCACCCCCCCTCTGTTCCCAATGGCACTTCCCTTTTTCCAATGGCACTTGTCCTCCTCCTGTCCCCCTATGGCTGACATGTGTTTTTTTGCAGAGAAGCCTGGGCAGGGGTTGAAACATGGACAGACCTGGGGGACTGAACGGGTTTCTTTTCAGTGGGCGCGGGCCGAGAGACGTGAGATGTTGAAAGGTTGATGACTTCGATGTTGTGTGTGTGTGTGTGCCGATTGAGAGATTGAAAGGTTGAAGCATCTTTCAATCTGGGGTCCCAGAGAGAATCATTGAAACATGTAAAGGTCTTCCTATCCAGAGGGTCCATATTTAACATTTCAAGTATTGATGCATCTTTCAATCTGGAGGTTCTGGATCGAAAGGTAGAATGAATGACCGATTTGTCAATGGTTGATTCTTGTCATGCGTTACTAATCTGTCAATTTTCATTGTGCTGTTGGGTGACGTGGCAATGCAGCGGGGCGGAGCCAATAGTTACTAGTGTACTCTGCTCGTCGCATGGCCCTGCAGGGGCGTGACAGCAAAAGCAATTCCTTCGTACTCGTCACACGGCATCGCGTTGGGAACGAAAAGACTACTACTTTACAGTATTCGTCACGTGGCAACGCCTGACGGGCGAACAGCATACCGTTTCATTCTTCTCGCCAGGTGACAACGCAGCGCGTCGAGGAACAGTCCATTCAAGTCTACTCGTCCCGTGGCAGTCTCTGGAGGGCGAACAAAACTATGACGACACTCTACCGTACTCCTACCTGTCACGTGGCAACGCCCACGGAGCGGGAAAAACCATTCAGTGCTCTTCGCCACTTGGCATCGCAGCGCGGCGGAACGATCTTGTTCTACTCCTACTCGTCACGTGGCAACGCCTGGGACCGCGGGGGAGGAGCAGGAGGAGGAAGGGGAGGAGGAGGAGGGGAAGGTGAAGGAAGAGCGGGAGGTGAAGGAGGAGGAGGAGGAGGAGGAGGAAGAGCGGGAGGTGAAGGAGGAGGAGGAGGGGAGAAAACGGGGGATGAGGTCAAGGAGGAGCGAGAGCGGGAGGATGACGGACTGTCCCGGCTCGTCGGCAACGCATCGCCGTTTCCAGGGCGACGTGCAGCTCCTCGCCGGGCCAACCCGCTGCGTCCTTGGCTTCCTGCTCCTGCTCCTTCTGGACCGACGACTTTCCCAGGCCCCAGGTTGAAACCCGCGGCTCCGGAACGAAGGGCCCGGCGCTTGCTCTCCGAGGCACTGTATCGGCTCGGCGTCTGCGCTTATTTTTCATGCATGCGTCTCTTCAGGTATGTCTTCAGCTTGTTATTTTCTGCCGATGCGCCGTCAGGGCGTGGCTCTTGCCTGCCTGCCTGCAGATTGAAACATTGCGACGCAGAAAGACATAACACGGGCAGTGGAAAACATTGAAATACTGAACGAGTGAACGATGTCTTATTCTCTCAATCTTTCCATCCAGGCCCTTCACATCGAGGTATCTTCCAACTCTCCAATATTTCAATCTGGACCTTCCTGATGGCGTTTCGGCGAATTCTTGGGTAGCCAGCTTTTCGGCGGAAGTAGCTCCATGGCGTGCGTCTACAAAGGCCCCAAGGTGACCCTGAGACGCTATCGATACCCTTCGGTTCTGAAGCATCGTGGCACGGTCCCGTTTCCGCGATTTGCCCCGGTGGAAAATCTAGCTGAAACGTGAGCGCGCGAAGCGCGCGCGCTGGCTCTAGAATGCCTGCTCGCACATCATATTCAGCGTGTTTGTGGGGCTCGCACGTTGCACACATCACTCAGGGAACATGCGTCTGCTCAGGATGCTTGCGTTGAGAAACCAACAGGCATTTGATCAGCTCCTCACGCGTATGAAGTACGTGTTTCTCACGCTCTAGCGGATGTCTGGAACTGCTGGCTTGATTTGTATCCTCTCTTGCCAGTCTGGACCGTGTGGTAATTTTGCAGAAGCGCGATGACCTTGACGGAGCGCTCCCGTCCCCACCGTGTTTGTTGCAGTAGCCAGTGGGAGTGACGACGAGGGCGACGGACCACCGACCTGAAGTATCATTGCGCCCCTTTGTTTCCTCGGCCAGTTTGCCTGTGGGGCTGAATACCAAGCTGAAGAACAGCAAGGAACCGTTGCATCGGGAGTCGGCGGACCGAGGTAGACAACACAGTTGAGCATGGGGGCATGTTTTCCCGTGACCTGTCGATTTTCACAGTCGTGGTAGTCGTATACACATGGATGGCATAGAGAGCGAGGCGAGGGAGAGAAAGAGAGAGAGAGAGAGAGATAGAAAGAGAGAAAGAGAGAGAGAGAGAGAGAGATAGTGATTTATATTTACACACATATATAAAAGATAACTATAGAAACGAAGCAGAGATATAATCATAGCGACAGAGATAAAACACGATATATACATGTATGGAGATATAGAGAAGTATGCAGATAACTAGAGAGAGAGAGAGAGCGCTAGCTATATATGTAGTTGTATATGTTTATATTTAGAGAAAGGGAGGGTAGGAGGGAGGGAGGGAGAGAGAGAGAGAGAGAGAAAGTCGGACGCTGAGATGAAATAAGCAATGACGGGTGCACCTTTATCCTGGAGCAGTCGGGACGGGCGACGTGCCGTCATGCACTTGTTCTATGAGCACGGCCTGGGGACGCGAGCGCGCTCCTTGTGCCTAAAAGGCAATTGGCAGCAGCGTCGGGGAGCGTAGGTGGGCGTGGGGGAGCGTCGGGGAAGAGAGAGCGAGAGAGAGAGAGAGAGAGAGAGAGACAGAGACGGCCCTTCTGAATCTCAGCGCGCGCGACCTTCGACGCGGCTCCGCAGATGGTCTCACCGTCACATGGGCGCCGTCCAACTCATTGCGCTGGCAGGGCGAATCTACACGACTTACATGGAGTTCGTTTCAGCTACCACCACGCCCATGCCATCGGCCATCGGCTACCACGGCGTCGTCAACCCAACACCTCGCATGCGCCACGACGCGCCCCATGAAAACGTATCCGATGACATGCGCTGGACTTCCCAGCAGCCTGAAGGATGATAGACAGAGAACGGAAGTTCACATACATCTATAGCACGCCGAGGAAGAGTCGCGTCTTGAAGAGTAGAGACTTTGAGGATCCACCAAGCATTGATAATCTCGGCGTCACGTGAGGATGGTGCCCTTGTTTGCAATGGCTCTGGTTCGAAAGCATCGAAAGACTCGTGAGACTCTGGCCATTCGTGAGCCCACTCTGGTGCTACATGTGCTCTCTCAGGTACCGCCAATACACACGAGATGAGAGTACTCAACGCAATACCAACGAAGCAAAACTTCATGGACGGGAGGGACGGGAAGCAGTACGAAAACGGATAATACCAAGCCATGGAAGTACCAACCGAGGAAATCAATGAAGATGGTAAGATGGCTTTTCCAGCAGTGATTGCCAACGCCTGCTTCGCCCTCTCCTTGATGGCCTTCGGAAGCGATCCGTCGAAGTCGGGAGCCGCGCGAAGAAGCGCGTTGAAGTTGCCAACGTCTTGTCGTCCATGAGCTTGGACACCTGCTTAACGATGTCGCCATTCGAGGCAGAACGATCCAGCCGCTCTTTTATAGAGCCCACCCACGACCGAAGCCTGCCTAACCCAGCACGTGAGGAGGAACTCGCCCTGCTCCTGTTCTTCGCCGCTCCCCCTGCCGCGTCGAGGAGCTGGAGGACAAGGGACGGAACCCGGCGGAACGATGTGATGGCCGACGACCTTCTGCGCGTGAGGAGGAACTCGCCCTGCTCCTGTCCTTCGCGCCGCTCCCCCTTGCCGCGTCGAGGAGCTGGAGGACAAGGGACGGAGCCTGGTGGAACGATGTGATAGCCGACGACCTTCTGCGCGTGAGGAGGAACTCGCCCTGCTCCTGCCCTTCGCGCCACTCCCCCTTGCCGCGTGGAGGAGCTGGAGGACGAGGGACGGAGCCCGGCGGAACGATGTGGTGGCCGACGACCTTCCGCACGCGAGCCTCCGTCGCGCCTGTCGTCGCCTCGGCAAGGCAGCGGCCTTGCCCCCCCGGGTCGCGGCCTCGGTCTCTCCTTTCATTGAGCGCGCTCCACTGCTCGCAAAGTGCCTGCTCGCAAACGTCGCCAAAACGCATGTCCGTTTCGATGTGATTTGTCGTAGATTCCCCGCAGCGGATCCAGGCCATTTGCGAGCAGTTACTTTGCGAGTAGTGGAGCGCGCTCGTCGATCCTTGGCCTTCTCCTTGCGCGGGAAGCTGGTGTGCTCCCTGTCGATTCTGCTCCGCCTCTTGCGCGTGCATCCGACCCGCTCCTCGCGCCACTCGTCGTCGGTGGAAGGGGGCGAGCTGTGGTGGGGCCGGCGTGACCGGCGGGAGAGGTCGGCGTAGCAGCCACCCCAGTTGCCCCACCGGATGTCTCCACGACCACGCCACCGATGGCCGCCCCGCCCACGACTGCCGCGGTCAGCCCGCTGGCCGCGACAGTCATCGCGCTGGGTGCGATGATCGCGTCCCGACATCTGTTCTAGCGGGAGAAGCTTCTGCCACCGTCGAAAATGAAACCTTGCACTTCGAGCCACCCGCGACTGCGGAAGAGCGTGGGCGACGGCTCGGAGCAGGGGCACGGGGTAGCTGGGCACGTGCATCTCGTACGCGAGCTCGAGGAGCCAAATCACCGACACAGCCGTCAGAAGCCGCATCGCACGAGACCGAGCCACACGACCAGCAAACCTTCCGAAATGCACTCTCGCACGTTCTATGTAATGCACCAGCCTAGGGAATGACCGTCGACGAGCCTCGATCGGAAACCACTCCGAAAATCCAATCACAATTCGGGTTCTTCGGAAATATCAGGACATGGTGACACAGCGTGATCATATGCAGATCCACCACTTCGCCAGGTATTTCAGTTTCCAGAGTACACGTGGGAGAAATCTTAACGCACGTGGCAGCAATTCTCGGTGCTTAAGCTCACGATGTCGTGATAAAGCAGAAGACGATGGAGATGATGCGTGCGATGTATGTTCAGCAACACCTGCTGACACCAATCGCGCGGGGACTCGAGCCGCTTCTTCTTCCTGAGCTGCGAGTAGTGTGCTGAGCGCAAGGCCCCGCTCAGCACGCCCCCAATGGGGAGATCCTTCAACTCAAAGACACCACTGGCAACCACTGCAACGCTGAGCCAGCAAGAGGAGACCGAAGCACGTGGCACATGGCCACAGGAGATGTTGAAACAGCCCCCTGGAGCCTCATCTGAACCAGGAATGGCATGAGCAGTGTGACTGCGGCGTGCGAGAACCGAGACGGCAGCGTCGCATCTCCCTGGGAAGGCAGCGATGGGCAGACAACGGCGCAGCCGCGGCCTCGCCCGCCGTGAACGCCTCGCAGCCCAGCTCGCAGATGTGAAGGATACTGCGGGCAGCGCGGCCAATCTGCTGAAATCCTCGGGCACTGGGCCGGCCGCTGGTATCGACGACTCTCGTGAGACGAGAAAAGAATGGCCAGGCTTGCCGCGCGCGTGTGTTCCAGTTGGAAGACAGCATTTCTCCTTCACCAGGCGAAATACTGATGGAGGTCGCGTCGGCGCAGGAGTAGAAGGCCGTGCTCTCCGCGATCGAAGGCACGGCGGCAGCGCCGAAATTGCACGCGGCCGTTGCCAAGTCTCTTCATGTCAGAAACTGAGACATCGGTGCGAAGTAGCCAGCCTTTGCTCTTTTTTTTGTTTTTTTTTGTTTTTTTGTTTTTGTTTTTTTGCATTTACAAGTATATGAGGTGAGGTGAGCGTCCAGTGAACATCATAAACGAAAGGGCCGCCCGGTATCTCAAGTACCATCTCATATGAGGCTACGGCTGCCTGCGCAGGCCAGTAACGGCCTGGCCCGCCGCCGCCGGCGGGATGCTTCCGCGCGTCGTTCGTTCGTTCTTTCGATGCAGCAAGTATATATCGGATCAAAGTTTAAACGTTGCAGACTTGGTCTTTATCCTCATCGCCTGCGACTAGACAGCTTCCATGTCTTGAAATTGCGCTGGCAGGTCTCGTGGTCAGGATGAACTTGGCGCTGAGATAGCTGCTGAAGATGGGGCGCAGAGCGTGGTCATGGACCCGAGATTTGGCAGCCCAAGAACGCATATAATTGCGCAGACGGCCATGCCGATGTATTGAATTAGACGAGTGAGGAAAATGCCCGACGCCTGGGGCACACGCCGAAGATCGGGTTGTGGTAGCAGAACCCCTTCTGAAGGCAAATACTGCTTAGTAATGGGACGAACTTCACGAAATAAGCGCTGACAAATGATAAAGTCCTTCCAAACCGCTTGGCGGTCAAAGACAGCTCGAAGACGCGGGCTGTACCACCTTCGAACGCGAACGAGCTTACACTAATATATCAATTGGGTCAAGAACGTGGCGTAGTATGATCCAGTTTTTGCAACGACGAAAGTTGTGAGGTACACGAAGTAGGGAAACCCGCAACGACAGTAAACCAGCTGTCCAAACAAACCAACCAAGCCCCAGGTGGACCGCAAACATCAGGATATGATGCAATGGACACCGAAGCCAACGATGCTGTGCCACATAGCATCTCGCCTGACACCTGCTTGGGTCGCAAAGGTTACTGACTGGAACACAGCGCATTGCGGTCCACGATAGCAGAAGTACGACGCGTTCAGGAGCAAGCAAATACAGATGTCCGTATTGACAAATCGTCACAAAGAGGTCGCGTAGCTGACGATGGTAGGCGCGTGAGAAAAGGGCAGTATTCCCGCAGGACGCCGGGCAACTGTGATGAGACAGCAACTCGAGCTCGCGGTCTCTGGGCCTTTGATATGCGTTGTCCTAAATCGCACGCTTCAGAGCATGCCGAGGACGACGGCGCCATGAGGGAGGTCGAACACGTTGTCGAGCACGTCTGCCAGTTCAGATCTTCGTATTAGCACGTTGGTCTGACGACTATGCTTTTTCACATTGATCAGCTTGGTTAACCTTGGGGGCACCTGCACGTATGCCGGAACTCTCAAAGTGTAGCGCATTCGAATTTGTTTGTAAGAAGTAAACCGGTAAGAAGAACAGCGAGCCCATACTACGACGTAGTAGTCTATATCGCGGTCGAACAGTTTTCCTTGCGCGCAGAAGGAAACAAATATGCTCATAGAGACGTGGACCCAGGCCAGCACGCGAAACTCGT